AAAAACAAATACCGGTACTAAATATAAGTTTGAACAATAGATTTTTATTCAGGATAACAAATTTTATTATTATTATTATTATTATTATTATTATTATTATTATTATTATTATTATTATTATTATTATTATTATTATTATTATTATTATTATTATTAATTATTATTAATATTAACTTATTTCAGCATTTTCGTAGGTTTTACTTTAATAAGTAGGGTCTATTTGTTACATTATTAGTGCTATTAAGGTATTTCTTCAACTTCGAAGGCGACATAGAAGCTTACTTAATATTTCACGCTTGCAATCCTTTTCTTAGCATACCACAATACCTAAATTATTTTCTGGTATAGTGTTATATAACCTGTTTATAACATTGGAGCATGTATTTCCTGTAGATTTTTAACGTTTAGATCCTATGTTTTTTAGGGGGTAGGGTAACGCTCACTGTGATCTACTGTATTTCGCTCACTGTGATCTACTGTATTTGACTACCGTTATATAAACGTCGAAGTTCCATATATGAGGTGCATCACATTCAAAACGACGGTTATCTAGCCACACAAAGTTTAAATAATAAACTGAAGGTGGTTGTTAAAAAGTACATTAAAGTGCTGTCTAACAGTGTACCTGTGCTTTGTCGACTTCATCATATGCTTTTCTAAGCATTGTGTCTTATTACTGTATTGTTGTAATACTATAGACCAAAATGCTATCGACACTCATGGTGCTATTTACCAACTTTTTAAAATATGAATCCAATGAGCTACGTATCATATTGGACGTGATACGTGGACTTAAGCCCTGTCCAGACTAACAAATTCTGTAAGATATACAGTTTTTAGTTCATCTGATCTGTATTTTTTCAGTCATACGTATAACGCTGAGGAAGGACACAGGCGTGTCCGAAATATTCGTCTTGAATAAATATATATTTATATATATATATTATATATACAGTATATATTTATGTATATTTGTATGTATGTATGCATCCATGCATGCATGCATGTATATATATACAGTATATATATATATATAAAAACACAGACAAAAATTAAATGATTGCATACGTTAATAGAGACAAAATTTATTCAAGACGAATATTTCTGACACGCCTGTGTCCTTCAGCGTTTACACATATGAATGAGAAATACAGAACAGATCAAAATAAAAACTGTAAGAAATTAACTAAAAAA